TTAGTTCCCTCTCCTCAGCAATTCGCCGCTTGTACATCTGCTCCTGCTCCGTGTAGAACTTGTAATCATCGTTGACCTTCGTCAGGGCAAGTCGTGCCACCGTGCACTCTACCTCGGCATTTTCCAGATCGTTTTCGTAACGCATCTGCCATTCATTGAGCTGCTCCCGCAGATTGTCCACTTGAAGGGAGTAAATGTTCTCGGAATGGTTTTGAACCAATTCGTCCTTGTAAATTATTTCCTCCAGGTCCTTAAGTTGCTTCGCCAGATCCTCCTCGCGTCCATTAAGGCGCATTAGCCGCTGGTCCGCACAGCTGTTCAGCCAGTTGAATCGGTAGCGAATCTCGATGGGATCCATAGCTAAGATTGGTTTTTAGAAGTTCCAAGATATAAGAAATACATTTTAAAATTGAAAGCTGGCCTCACTTACCGGTCACGTCCTCGAACTGATCAAGGACCGCCGTGAGACGAGTGTTTTTGAGGTTAACACTGCTGGAAGTATCAAGCATAGTAATCGCCTTTAAGTGGTCTTTTATCGCACGATTTTCAACAAGTCCCTTAATCCAAGAACCATTCAAGTTGTACTTGGCTTCACTGAAAGAAAATTTGCATACATACATATATTGAAATAGAGAATCTTTATAGAAAATAACCACTTACCGCAGCATTTGCATGCTATTGGAGCAGAGATTATGATTGAAACTAAAGTCTTCTCTGATCTCGTAGATTAAAAGCATTATTTCGTGCAGATCCGTCCGAAACTTAAGGCAGTCGAGATCCTCTGTGGTTCGCTCCCGATGGATAACGTCAAGGTACATCTGGTTATGGTCAAGTCGTTGTAAGAAATGATCCAGGGACCAGCTAAATAGGCGGTAGGGCATTTCGTCCAGTTTGCCGGCCAGGGGCTGGAGAAGAGACGCAGCTGCCTAAGGAGGCGCACCGACATGAACTCAATGGCTGCCTTCTGGCACTGCTGGTTGAGGTCATTCAGCTGGGAGAGTCGCTCCACGTACGCTTCGGAGCTCCTTAACGATCGTTTAGTTGTTGGTTTACTATATTTCTCATACCACTTGCGCAAAATGTTAGCAAGAAGTCTTGTCTCGGGCGTGTTGTTTAAGTCGGCCCATTTTGAGGTGTGGTCAACTTCGCCCATGCTCTTCCGGGCTATTGTTTGTCTCGGCTTTAGAGCACTGATTCTCTTCTCTCTTCAACCAGGAACTTCTTAATGAACTCATCGCGACACTCGGAGGGATCAATGTCGGGCAACGGAAACAGAACCTCATACTGGTCGGAATCTGGTACTGAAGAATCATCATCTGGATCCGTTATAGTCAGACTTTTCCTAATTTTCGTTTCCATTTTTGTTTTGATAGTTTTTTTTTAGTGTCACCTGTCACTTTTAAAATATTAATATAGTGTTACCTAGAATTTTAGACTTATATTATACTATTTTGATTGTATCATGCTTTCTTAGACTATTTTATATTGTATAAAATGCGAAATTTGCAATGAGCAATAAATTTTTATCTGTAATATAATTCATATTTTAAAAGATATTTCGATATTTACAATTTTGAATAGTTTGCTATATTTTCGAAAGAAAACTAAAATGATAACATCACATATTTATCATTTCTCTGTCGATAAAAAACATATTAGAATCGAACTCGGTAGGCTAGTTTACCTTGTCAGCCATCACTCAGTAAAATTTAGTTCGTCGCTTTCCTTTGGAGAGGTAGAACTCCTCTGGTACTTTATTTTATTTATTTTATTTTATTTTCAATTCTTCGTTTGCTCTATTATAAATGATTTAAATGTATGTTATGGAACGGTACAGTAAGTCCTTGCCATTATTATAATGCTGACTAAAATGGTTAAAACTCTTAAACAGGGGGCAAAAACCTCTTAAATGTTTGTTTAATTTGTATGGGGTATAACAATGTATTCTTTCTTTAAATTAGTTGACAAGCGATAGTTGTAATTTGTTATGTTATTAAAAAGATACAAAAATAATGTTACTGGTCTTCCGTAATTTGTATTAATTTTTAAAAGATTTTTACAACATGAATAAATTTTGTTTTCCTTTTTAATGACTATTGTTTATAGGGAGGTGTTAGTGTTGTAGGCTTTTACACCGTTTTTGCCTATTACTAAATAAAAATGAATAATACTTTTTATATTTTTTATTAAATTGATCTTTTATCTATCTTTGGCTTTACGTTTGCATCATATTAATGTCCAAAGTGACCCCCAGGTACTTATTATCTTTAACCTGCTCAAGAAGCTCTCGTTGCAGGAAGAAGCCAGGGCACGACTCCTATGTCAGATAAAGCATCACTAACACTTTGCCGGGTTAATGAATATATTCCAGCGACAGGCCCAATTCTCAAGCCGCTTAAGGTACAACTGAGCATATCAGTGTCGTCATAAATACAGTTTGATCTGGAGATAATCGAAATATCGTCTGCAAATGTGGCCAGCATTGGCATATAGTGGGTGGTCCAGGATGGAACCTTTTCCTTTATAGGTTGATTAAGGTACAGCTTGTTTACATACGATATGCCAAACTCCCTGCGACTGAAGCAGAATCAAATGCTGGCCAAATTTTCGGAAGATACTGCGATATCTCTAGATCCAACTGTATTTATGAGCCACAGATATGCTTCAGTTGTACCTTAAGTTGTTCAAGAATAGGCTTGCCGCTGGAGTGTATCCATTAACCCTGCAAAGTGTGCTTTAGTGACGCTCTCTCTCACATAAGAGTTGTGTCCTGGCTTGTTCCTTGTGCCGGTTAGAGATATAAATACCTTGGGTAACTTTGGACACCCGTTAACAATCGCAAAGGATGTAAGGTGCTTATGGAACGCCTGAAAATAAAGTGTTTTCAAAATATATATTTACAAATTGTGATAATATTGCCAATCAAATATGGCATTTTTTTAGCGAACGTCTTATGTCGTAAGCTGCAGAGCACATTTTAAAAAAATTTGTTTGAGCAAATGGAAGCACTTTGAAAAAAAACGATTTTTATACAAAAATTTTTGTATTAAAAATTTATAACTTAAAAAATCCTTCGTTATGCCATAGAGAACGTATACAAAATGTAGGAATGAGAACCAATCCAGCAGTTTTAGAGAAATCATGTACATCGTTTAAAAAATGTAGTTTTGAGCAAAACCAGTTGACTTATGTAAATTGTGTTATGGCAGTAATCTAGGAACTTAAGACATTTTCGGAATGTTGTATTATGTGATGGGGTTAAGGTTGTGTAGGAATAGGAAAGAGGAACAAATAACATATAAATTGTTAATATACAAATTCAGTTCAAGATCCCTCCACATAGTGTTGAAAGTGTTTTGTCGAAAAGTGTCGATAACAAAACATTTCTGACAGAGAGTAGCAATAACAAGCAATCGCCATTCGCATGTCGACGTGCCAGCACATTTCTTTGAATTTTGAATGTGTTCGTTTTACTTTGTTATTGTCCGCAGTTCAGCGCAATGTTTCCATCAAAATTATTACAACGTTAACGCAATTAACGTCACACAGGTGAGATTAAACAGCTTCTAAAGCGCAAGTGCACGGTCAGTGTCAGTTTTGAGGTAAACGGAATCGCCGCATTTCATTTCGGCTTGCCAAGTCCAGTTTCGCACAGGTGCGTTGATTGTGTGTTGTGCAAAGGTAAATAAGAACGCGGTCTTATGTATGTATGTACAAATAGGGTGTGCGTGCACTTATGTGTGTATTATTTGCGGCACATTTGTTTATAAGTCTGATTAGAAGTCAGCTGTGCATATTTGCGCCTCCCATATTCATAATATATAGTGTATATTTGGCTCTTAATTACTCCCAACGTGCGTGGTGAGTGATGGATGTTCGCCAGTGTATGTGAGCCAGCGAGTGGAAAATCGTAGTTACGTACAACGCTGCGTATGAGCAATAAACTGTAATTGAGTCAAGATCACAAAACTATCAACAATTGGATTTCGATTTCGAGTATTCCCAGACTTTTAAGTACTTCGCTTTAATTGATCTTCTTTCAGTTTAAATACATATTTATTTTCTTAATTTTGTTAACAACAAATAAAATCAACGATTGATGTCTTTCATATATTGCAAAAAAATTGTGGAGATAATTTATAGACTATGTCATGTTAAAGTTATGGTCACAAAAACTGCCTTAAATGTACATAAACATAATAAATTAATTCTAACAACTTCTACACAAATTGAAATTCATAGGTGAAAAATAGGACAGATCATAAAACTTTATTAGGTCAACTTATACGCAAAACTCATAAGAAGACTGTTAGAAATGCCAACCAACTTATAGTTGCTGCTGATTATTTTCTATAATCCTTCCACTGACAGTTATATTGATTTGTGTTTAAATTTATTAGCTTTGTATGGCGTGGAGCCCCGCCTTTCCCCATATTAGTTTTATTAATCCACCCGAATCGAAGTTCGATTTATCGTGATTCCATATAATTGATGTGGAGCGTTAATAAAAACCGATCACGACTAACAGCGTTTGCTTTGGAACGGTTGGGCAACCACTACTGTTGGTCCGCAGCTTTGCCTCCCCGATAAGGCAAAGAAATAAACAAAATAAAGAAAACAGACAAGACTGTCAGTGCAGCACTGCTGTGAAATCACAATCAAAATGCAAACAGAGATCGGGCTTTAAGAAGTTGAGCAAATATCCAAATTAACGCTGCTGCAAGTGGCGACAGGGGCTCATACACTCACTCCCACAATAATAAACTCACGGACAGGTGTATAAAAACCGGACACAGTGGAACTTTCCAAAGGGGTACAGCCAATAGGGTTTAAATTGTGAAACATCAAAATGGATTAAATGGAAATGTTTAGGGCGATGTGTTTCCCGATCTAATAGATAAATAAATCAAGTATAAATTGTTAGTAAGAATATTTTCATTTTTAAGGCATATTTTCGAGACTTAATAAAGCTTAAACGTTTAAATATCACAAACATTTCACTGTACTCTCACTAAGTGCTCAGACACACTCACACACACACATTGGCGAATAAGATACGAAGAAGACGTCGACGAACTCGTTTCAATTGAGTCTCAAACCGAAACTGTGAAACACAATTCATTCCTCTGGAGAACGCGCAACCGAAAACATTTTCCACCTCGCCTCGCATATAATTCGATTTCTAATTGGTATTTGTTTACATTCGGGTCTCCAGCCTTTGTTTTTATTTTTATTATTTACGTCTCCAGTAAGAGTGCCCGAGACCGAGCCCGAGGCCCTACCCAAAAATGGAGCAGTGGAATAATGTCGAGCTGACGAATATGTCAAAAAAGTCATATACCCTGAATCATGAATACGATGCTGCCGCTAAGTTGAACAAGGAGAACACGAAGCCATCCGCGAATGGTAATGGAACGAGTTCGGAGCAGCAGCCACCAGCAGCAGCAACATCAGAGGCTGTGCCAGATAGCAGCAGTGATCTGCTCCAGCCAGGATCGGATGTGAAGCCGAAAGTGGAGCCCGACGATGTGGAGAGCTTGCTGCGACGCCTCTACGGGATTACGATAAGCGAGGTCAAGGAAATCGTCGCCTACGACGATCGCAACTTCTTCATCAAGGAGGATAGGTAAGCGAACGAATGGTATATTGAGTCGAAGCCCTCTCTGTCCCAGCAGCATATTTGCAGCTTTATCTGGGGTCACAGTATAAAATATTCAATACAGTTGCGGTCAGAATAATAGCTTTGATAGAAGACTATATAATATATCGAATTTCAAGATATCTTCAATATTATATGTGCATACCGAGAATATATTTTAGAGGTTGATGTCGTATTTAACATAAAAATCAATCCCAAAGTTGATTACTTTTTAGAAACCCAAATTTACCCAACGGTCCCAACAAATAACATTGATATCCAAGCATAAAGATTCAACCCTGAACTCCCAGTGCTGTTTTTCTGACCGC